CAATATCTCAAGAGGCTGTTTATGAATCTTCTAAAATAAATTGGAAAAAAAAATGCCAAATGAGGTCTTTAAAGATTTCAGGTAACAATCATGACCTGAAATTTGTTGTGACATTTCAGTGTTCTCATGTGAGATCATAAAGATGAACTGACAAACTTATGGTAACATTTCAGTTGATTTTTAAAATATTCATGGGCACTCAGGTCATTATATAATCTTATGTGATGGCCTGGGACCCGATATGTAATGTGTATCAAAGAAATCCTTTGAAGTTTTGAGACTGTGGATTTTAAGGAAGCTTTTACTAGGTTTCTATCTTTTCTTGTTCTCTTATTTTGGGGAGAGGGCCAGAAAAGGAAGGGATTGAAAGGAATTTGATGAGAAGATAAAGATCTATTCTCAATTACAGAACAGCCAGGAATAACTGCTCTACAACTGCTTCTCCTTTCCCACATTCAGGTGAAAAGTAAAAGAGTTGTTGTTAAGGAGTTATTAATTTATTTTATTTTATTTAAATCTATTAGATTTACAAATATCAGGAAAAAAAGCAAGAAAAATGTAGAAGCAACAAGTTGTAATTAAAGAGATTTACAAGCAGTATGAAATTGACAAAATATTTTGAAATGACATTGATATAAATCTACATATTAAAATATATTTTGAAAGGTGGAATTAGTGTTAGAATAAATCAATATTACAATCATATTATTGTATTATAATTGACAGTATGTTTCCATTTGTAAATTATAAACCAGAAAAGAAAAAAAATTATAGTAAGTGCTACCTGGTCTGAAAAAAATAATAAATTTAGCAGATCAAAGGGAAAAAAAGGAAAAAGAAAAACTAAAATGTTATAATCTTACATTAGGAGAAACCCAAACTTTGGATATAGTATGAACCTGTTTATAAGATTATAATCCAAAATGACTTCCATATTGAGTTAACTTCTATACCAAATGTGTTTTTAAATAAGTAGTTAATTTTGATATTGCTGCATACTTCTATAACTTAATTTACTGTTCTTCTATGGAAGTAATTGTTCATGCTTGCTGATAAGAAGTATGGAATAGTATAGTAGCTATTACCATTTTTAAAACCAGTTCAGTATCATTTATAGGAATATAAGGTTTAGTAATATTTAATAAAAAGGTGATGGGCTAAAGAGAAAAATCCATCTTTAAAATCTGTTTTGTTCTATTATAAATTATTTTCCATAATTATTATGTCTTACAATGTTGCCACCAAATGGGAAAGAATGATCTAACATGGCTATTGCATTTCCAGTAGTTTTTAGAAAATGAATTGTCTATTTTAGCAACCGGTACTAGAATAATATACAATCAGTAGAACATCTTATACCAGTTTTCTCTAATACTAATTGTAAAATTGATATTGTTCTTTCATTGAAATTCCCATTGTTGCATATTAGTTGTATTCAGATTCTGTATCATACAGTCCTTAGTTTGTTCTCTTTCTGAATCATACTTCACCAGTCAATATATGGATAAGTCCCAATAAATTACCTGAATTTTGTGTGTTTAGGTTTTTTTTATTTCAGTCAAATCTCTAAGTGTTCTACCTTGTTTTTGTAATTCCTTTAGGACCATACAACTGATAAATAGATATTGAAAACAGTGATGTGGTTCTGATTATTCTGAAGAGAGAATCTCAAAGGACTTCAATTTTGTTTTATTAATAATTAAATATTGCAATCTGTATGAATTATTATCCCTCCTCTGATAAAATTGCTTTGTATGTTCTCCTTCATAAAGATAGATATTTAATACTGAAGCAAGAGATAATAAATCTGGACTCCTATCCAATTCCTTTTATTTTTGAGAAGTTCTAAAATGTTGCTGCTTTCATTTATTTTCTCTGTTCCCAATACCCACTTTCCTCATACGTTCATTTATTTCACAGATTTTTTTTAAAGCTCCATAATACTTTAAATTCTTTATAGTATGAACGTTATCTACTAATGAAACCGTGCTTTAAATATGTGATATAAATCAAATAATGAAGAAGTCAGCCTACCTGATTTAGCTAACATTTAGGCAAACAAACCGGACCTGCCTATATCAGTTTTGGAATCAGTAAAGGCCCCTAGAATCTCAAGTAACTAAGCACATACTTGCTCTGTGTGGGGATTTCATATTATTTAAAATAATTATAGTGTTAATATTGATATTAGAGTGAACTATGTGTTCTTTGAGAGATAATTACCAGAAGAGAGACAGTGTTGAAGAGTGTACTAGCTGTAGGGCTTTACACTTAGTCCTATGTACAGTTTCCAAAAATCAGAAACCTGAAGTTCTCAGCCAGTTGAACAAGATGCCCCAGACAGATGATAACTGTATGAGCAGTGGCCTTTAATACTAATAAGGAATCTGATATGACTGCTCTGAAACCCAATTAAACATCTGATTCCCAAGGATGTACTAACAGTTATCTGAGAGGGGCTTTGGAGGAAAATAGAACGTAAGGAAGAAATAGTTGAGAGAAAGAAAGAATCCATCAGGTACAGAGGAGCAGATTTAGCAGGGGAAAGAAACAGAAAGGCAGGAAAAGCAAGTCTTGTGTCAGATAGATAGTCAATAGGAAACCAAGGTGGTGTGGGTACAGATAAAGTTGCCAAACAGCAAGTCCAGAGGAGATAGCACACAGCTATTTCTGGTGTGGCAAATGTGAGGGAGAGAGGAAATCTCTGTGGGCCTGCAAAATTGTTCCTGTGAGACAGCAAACTTAGTACATCACAGTGTTTCTTAACTCAAGGCCTTAGAAGACAAGTATATTTTTTGTAACGAGGAACACCTATGACTGCTTATATTAAATAAATGAAAGGAATATTGAAATAAAACATGCTATAATAATAATAATAATAATAATAATAATAATAAGGCATACTTTAGTAAAATAATTCTTATAGTTAAGACATTGATTCTAAATTTTAATGGAATTATGCGTTTGCACATGGGAGTATATTTCATGTCTGGAATAAGATTTGTTAAATAAAGTCTTAAGAGTCAAATAAACATTTGTTGTTTATTCTTGGCTATAGTGACAACAAAGTGGCAAAGTCACGTTGAAGGAAAAGGTACTAGAACTTTGACTCCTTTGAAAGTACAGTACTTGCAAAATACCTTCAGGTCATTAGGTTGCCAAGTTGTTCTGTGGTATGCAGTTTAATTGCTCTAGCAGTCTGAATATTAATCTGATTTGTTAATATAAACTGAACATGAAAATAAAAATTGAAGGAAACTATTTAGCTTTGTGAGGAAATTGATTAAAAAACACTGAAAGACATAGAAATTTAATCGTTATTTCAAAGATAAATTGGTGCATATCCAACCAACCCAGCTCTTTTTTTCTACTCCACCCTTAGTATTTATTATAGTAAGCAAAAAGATGTATGCAAACATTATCCAAGGTTGCCATTTTTTCAAATTCTTTTTTTTATTATTATTAGGCCATCCTTACACCTACATCCAGAAATATAACTTCCAGGGTTTTAAAAATGTATATTTTTGGTCTCTTGCTCATATTTTCTGAGGAAAAGGTTAGAGGCAGCAAACATTAAATAGATGGGCTTTTTTCCCCCTAGGATAGATAGGGCCTTGATACCCTGCATACTTGTAGGATCCTGCCTCAAAAACAGTAGTAATAACAGTGCAATCTTTATTTCTGCATACTGTACTTGTTGGGGGAAAAAAAGAAATTGGATTATATAAAAGCCAAGACGTTTTCTACTGTTATGTAAGGTCAACATGTGAAAGTAGTCCAAAAGTGGTTGATATTCGGTTCTTAAATAAATAACTCTTTATTATATGGAAAGATTCTGATTTTTCCCAACTGGATGTCCTCTACACCTATACAGAGATAATTTGTCTGTTTTCAAAGATTGGGGAGGTATGAATTTAATGAATTTTTGTTGTTGTTAATGTTGTTATTTTCAGAGGGGGCCAAGGGTACATATGCATCTGTCTCTCTCCCAGCCCTCCCTGTAAGCCAAGTGTCAGAGGAGTAGGTGGGAATGGAGATGGACATTCTAGGCAAGGAGCAGTTTTTCCAGGGCTCTCCTTTTTTTACTTCTCATCATAGTGCTTTTGAGAAGAAGAAAATATCACAGGCTGTAAATGTATTTCTGTTGCATTTTATGACTCATATTTATGGCAACAGTAGTAACAGGAATGGCTTGGGATATAGCATGGACTATGAGATGATTGTGCTCAGTACTGACCCTTTTGTGGGTGGGTACTGCTGACACCATTTTCCCAAGCAGATAACAAAGAGTTTCAGCCAGTCAGAAAAATCTTTCTATAGATAGCATGATACCAAGAGTTACATTTTTAATAGACTATATACAAGCTCCAGGAAACAAAAGTTATGACCATAATTCTTTCCCCTGTTCTCTGTGAATGCCCTATGATAAGCTCAGAAGGTCATCCATCTCTACATGAAAGAATATAGGAGAAAGGGATGCTCTGAAGATTTTACAAGCAAGCAGAATTTTAGGTTTCAAAAAAGCATTTGTCTAATCATGTGCTAAAAAATTCATATTGAGACAGTAACTTTACAAAATAGTCTGCAAGCTTTTGACTTTTTTACAACTCATCAACTAAGGTGGTAATCCAAGTAAATGGTAATATTACTGATTCATGCAGGACTTTATGTTTCGAATCACTTTTTTAAATTGCCTATAAAAGAAAAATATATTTCATCAGGAATCAAGAATATTCTCACAGTACGCTGATATATGAAATAATATCTTCATTAAAACTACCTAGTGAACTAATAGCAGAGGTATGGTTTGAACCATGAATTTCCTAGCACATAGCTCTATTGCTTTTTGATTCTAGATATTATATATGAAATATCAAATAAAATATTAACATTAAAATTTCATAAAGCATAAAATATAATTTGGAAATATGGCTTATCAGTAATTCTGTATGGGTTTTGAGTGTTTTTACAAAAGTATAACAACAATCATATTTTTAAAGGGTTTCCATGCAAGGCAAAGTGATGAAGCGTACCTTGGTAACAGACAAAGAAAAAAAGACTGGCATGACAGAGAGGCTATAAAGAATGATTTGCTGCAAACAGGTCTGTATAATTCAGTCTTACTCATGAAGATAAAATAATACTGAACACAAGGTACTAGTGGATATGTTCATGTAACTCAAAAGAAATTACCATTGTTATACTTTTAAAAAGAAAAGTCAGCAAGTCATCAGCAAACTAGTAACCTAGAATAGAAATTGAACAAGACTCCCCACAGTTCCTAATGCCTTATGTTACTGACCATAAACAAAACCCCACAGAGGATTGCTTGTTCCAGAAGAGAGACCTAGAAAAATGCCAGACCAAGGTTTTCATTGTCTCCAAGACTTAGAAATAGCAGCAAACAGCATGACATGGGTCCCTAGGAAGCCATTTCTGTATCTGCTTCCTTAGTGCCATCCTATGTCTAGCCAGTTGAATGGAAATGCAGTGGCAGTGTCACAGTGGACAGAGTAACAGGAAAAGGAAAACATAACCTATAACTCATATTTGCTAGTGCTGGCATAAGGAAGGAGTGTTTCTTGGAAGGCTTAAGTATCCAATATTCTAGTGCAGAAGCCCTAGTAGTATACATAACATTTAAAAGTAAGAGAGGAAATGGTAAAAGTTGTTAGGTAAAACAATGAATGTGATAATCAGATATTTTAAAACCAGTTGAAACAAACCAGCATGTTCCTGTTGTATCTCCATGTTTCAAGAAATAAAAATGATGTGGAAATGCACCAACTGTGCCAGTAGTAAACAACAACAATTCTAGATTTGGCTCTAGTACTAGAAACGAGGCTGGGATTGTGAGAATGACAGAAAATACGAGTGAAGCTACAGGAGCCATGGCAAAAGCACTATTTCAGTCTCTGAGTATATAGAACAGTAGTACCCAATCTAGTTATGTTGGTTGTAATAAAAAAAAAAAGATGGATATGATTAGTGATAAAAAGAAAGTTGGCTGGAGCAATAGAGAACATGGACTAAAATATTCTTTTAAATATCTTTTTAAAGACTAAAATATTCTCTTAAACCCATAGATTCTTTTAAAATAAACTATTTGGTCTCATGTGCTATGTCAGGAAAACAAACAAATGAATAAAGCTTCAATATTCTGGTGAAAATTAAAAATGCATGAAAACTTTAATCTCAAAATGGAGGGGACAGAGGGTATTTCATGAACATGGTAAATAGTGCCTTTCCTCTGGAATGGTATCCCCTGGAGGTTTGAATAGCCCTGACCCTGCTATCCTTTAAACAGGCCTTGAAAACCTGGCTTTTTTCCCAAGTTCTAGGTGAGGGTGGGGTGTGCATCCATCTGAATGGGATCATGTTTGGTATCTTTGTGGTGTGTCCGTTCTCCCCAGCTATAGCCATTTTTAAAATTTATCTAATTCATTGGGTTTAATCTGTATACCACCCAGATTCAGTGTGTGTTGGGCAGCCTTATAAATTTAAATTATAAATTATACAGTATGTTGATACATCAGGACAAAATCTAATGAGTCTATTTTTGTGATCTTTTTCAAAAGGAGAAAGTTACCAAGATGTCTCTTTTTAGCATTATTCAATATCCATAAACTATAATCTGCTTCTTAACTAGGAAGTTTAACAATTTAAGGTGTATTATTAAGAAATCTTAGCTGCAGTCCTGGAATGTAGCATAACAAGTATTGCCTAGAGCTGTGAATAATGAGGAAGCTGATAAAACGGCTTCTTGAATTTTGAATGTGGATAAACTTATTGCTCTGTTAAATCTCTGCAGTTAAGATGTGGAAAGCTTTAAGATTACTCCTTGCTTTTCTTTATCTCTTCAGGAAATGGAGAACAAGGAAAACCATATCCTATGACTGATGCTGAGCAAGTGGACCAGGCATACAGGGAAAATGGTTTTAATATTTTTGTGAGTGATAAAATTTCTTTAAACCGTTCTCTACCAGATATACGGCACCCAAAGTAAGTATAGAATTTTCTTGTGGCTGAAAGGATGAGTTTTCTTATTTCTAAAATTGATTTTCTTGCATTTTACCTTAAGTGCCATTCCAGCTAGCACTAACATTTTTTGTTGTCAGAGAGAGTTCTGTCTGTTGCATTAAATGTGATACCTAGTAGCATGGCAACTAGGGGTATGCAAACATTTTTTAATTTAAAAGTTTCATGTTTAAAACACACCTATTGGTGTTTGAAACACTCTATTTTCAGTGTGAAACAAACATGTTTTTAGTTAAAACACTCTTTCAAGCTCAAAACAGTCCCAGAATGTTCAAAACAGCCTGTTCCACATTTGAGATGGGGTAATTTGCACTCAGTATGGGGTGTTTCAGATTTGAAAAGTTTTGTACATCGCTGCTGGCAAGTAAGATTCAAAAACAGAACACAAAGGTATACAGTAATGTACACCAAGTTCCCATAGTTATAAATTAAGTCTCTTTTTATAAGATGAAGGGTGCTGTTTTCATATATTAGGGAAACATGAGGATTGGACTCTGAAGAAGAATGTTATTGTATAAACTATTAAGAATAATTATGTTCTTTATGAATTGAAATATACATGCTGTTAGTTAACTGGATGTTTAATATTTATATACCAAGAGATAATAGGAGTAATTTCCTTAGGTACTGGAGCAGTGGTAATATGATGGTAATTCTCTTCATCTTTCAGCTGCAATAGCAAGCTATATCTGGAACAACTCCCCAACACCAGTATAATAATCCCATTCCACAATGAAGGATGGTCCTCACTTCTCCGAACAGTGCACAGTGTTCTCAATCGTTCTCCTCCTGAACTGATAGCTGAGATTGTGCTGGTGGATGATTTCAGCGATAGAGGTACATCCAATGCATTATTTATTTGCTCAGACATTCATGACTAAGCCAAACAAATGGTATATATTGGATTACTTTGCATATATATAAAATGCAATTTAATGTTGGGCTTTGAAGTACTTCCTCTGTTGTTGTTTTTTTAAAATTATTAATGAATCTTATGTGCTATGTTTATTCATTTTTTTAATATTAAGGAAAACATTTCTTGTTTTTATTCTTGAGTTAAAACTTTTTTAAAAAGTTTCAGAATTAGGTAAGACAGATGAATCATGCAGACATCAAAATTTCTGAATTAGATAATTATATGTGTATTTTAATGGACAGATGTGTATCATTGAATTATGTGTTGTAATTTAACATCATAGTAAATGGTTTATCTAATTTTGAATAATATATAAGAATGTTGTTGGATCAGGACAAACACCCATATAGCCCATGTTCTATGTCATGTGGCAGGCAGGAAGTTCACAAACATGAAAGAGGAATTATACCCCTTTTCCACTATTACTCAGTAGCAACTCATATTCAAGGCAGACATTCATGAGCATAGAAGTAGCCAACAGCTATTAAGACCAGTAGTTATTGATCGCCCAGTTCTGCATGAATTTATCCAGTCCCCCTTTAAAACTATCTAATTTGGTAGCAACACATTCCAAAGCTTAACTGCATGCCATATAAAAAGTAGCTCCTTTTACAGTTCCTAAATTTCTCCCTTTTAGTTTTAACAAATAACCCCAAGTTCTAACCTTGTAAGAGAGGGAGAAAATTCCCTATCCAAATTGTCCATACCACGCATGATTTAATAACCTGATAGTCCTCGGATTAAGAATGCCTGCTTTACAGACAACTCATAATTAAGAACAGAGCCTACTGCAGCGAAAATCGAGTTAAATACACAACGATTTGAGTTAAATACTTAATGGTTTGAGTTAATTACACAATACTACTTATACAGTATTATGCAATAATACTTTCTGGCTTACATACAAATTCAGCTTGAAGACAGACCTTGGGAATGGAACTCGTTCTTAAACTGGAGACTACCTGTATATTTGTCTCCCCTTACTGACCTTTGTTCTAAGCCTTAATCACTGTGGTCTTTCCTTGTAGGGTAGCTGCTGTAGTCCTCTAACCCTTTTGGTTACACTTTCTATATTTTTCCCAGTACCACATTATCCTTTTTGAGATATGGTGATCAGAACTGTACACAGTATTTCACATGTTGTGGAATATATGATTGATATAGGGGCAAAACTATATTGCCTTCTTTATTTTCTGTTCCTTTCATAATTATTTCAAGCTTAGAATTTATGATGGCTGGTATGGGTCTTCCGGGCTGTGTGGCCGTGGTCTTGAAGTTT